CTGGCCCTCCTCCAAGCCGGTTGAGAGCGGAAGTACGGGGCCTCTCCCTGTTGTCATTATGGCGGTCCCGGGACTGAACTTCCTGGGAGGATGTTTCTTGGGCCACCACCCCTTCGTCGTTTCTCACCCGAGGGGTGGGATTTCCGAAGGGGTGTGGCAGAGGGGGAAGTATGATATTTTCCCCGATCTGAGGGTGAGCTGGAGCCAGAGTGCCGAAGGCACCCGGGTTCTGGGTGAGCGTCTGGATGAAGGCGGAGAGCGCCGATTGAACGTCGATTGTGAGAACCGGAGGGCTGACTTGGTCATCGCTCCGGTTTTTCTTCTTGGCCTCGATGCCGAGGCGGGCATCGGGGGCATTTTGTTGGATCTGAAGGCATAGGTCGACAGCCGCCTGTTCCAGCCCAGCGATGACACCGCCCTCGGGAGCCCTGTGAGAGGCTTCGGGGGCGTTGACGTCGCCGGGGGCCAGGTTCTTGTCTTCTACGTTCTTTGAGTTGGCACGTGTTGTCCTCACCATCTTGATAGAGGGCTAGTTTTTTGTGTTTGGTCGAGGGGGGGGGGGGGGGTTTCTTACTCGATTGTTCAAACTCTCAACGAGAGCACCAAATGATGGATAGTCTATCCGAGGGTATATATCCGAGGGGTTATTACGGGGAGTAATTTAGAGAGAAGTCAGAGCAAGTAAATAAAAGTAGAGAGAGTGTATTCAGTGTGTTATCACTTTTCAGCGTGGTTACAAATGGGGAAATGGGGTGCTATTTATAGCATCAATAAATGCCGGGCAGGGACACATGTCAAGCGCTCATTGGCCGAGGGGTCACCTCAACTGATTGGCGCTGGCAGCCGCATGTGGTCGCATTTAATGCGGCTGTTGGATGGGACGTCTGTGCAGAGTACGGTGATCTGTACGCATGTGAGGCGGATATCTTGTCGAGTGAGATGCCTTCGGCTATAGAGCAGTAGCCGAGGGCTCTTCCTCCCGATGGCACCCCTGGTGCCGAGGGCTCACAGTGCCGAGGGCTGCTGTTTCCGGCGTTTTCTCCCAGTTTCTTAGTTTGCTTGAGAAACCCGTTCTGTGAGAATTTGGAGCCTTCGGCCAGGGGGTCGAAGGCACCCCTGGCGCGTAGTGCGGGCTGCTTGGTACTCTGGGCGCTGTGATTTGGGCCTGTTGGGCCTTTTGGGCCTGTTGGGCCTTCGCTGGAGTAGTAGGAGTCTGTGGGCCGGGGGTTCCCGGGCCATATACTCCATCAAGCTCATTGGACTCCTTTCTCAAATCATACGATTAAGAGCTCATTTTCTGGATAATTCTATAAAGAGAATCCAACTTCATAATGCAGGAGAATTTATAACCCAATCTTTTAATGATTATTGTATGTCAATTGGGATTGATGTGGAGCACCATGTTGCTCATGTTCATACACAAAATGGTCTTGATAAATCTTTGATTAAAAGATTACAATTAATCGCTAGACCATTACTAATGAAGTGTAATTTACCTTCATCAGCTTGGGGACATGTTATTTTACATGCAACAAATTTAATTCGGTTTAGACCAACTGCATATAATGAATATTCCCCAATGCATTTAGTTACTGGACAAGAGCCAAACTTAGCACAGATAAAGATATTTAGTTGTGTTGTTTATGTTCCGATTGCTCCACCTCATTGTACAAAAATGGGTCCTCAAAGAAGGTTGGGAATTTATGTTGGATTTGAATCTCCCTCAATAATAAAATATCTTGAACCGATGATTGGTGACTTATTCACCGCATGGTTTGCAGGCTGTCATTTCAATGAGACAGTGTTCCCGACCTTAGGGGGGGATAATAAATAGACCCAAGTACGAAAGAGATAACATGGAATGCAACAGGATCATCACATTTTGACTCAAGAACAAATATATGTGAATAAGAAGTGCAAAAGATAATTCATTTACAAAATGTTGCAAATTAGTTGCGTGATGCATTCACATATTCCTACTATGAATGCCCTTGCCAGAATCAAAATTTAGCAGAGAATTGTAAAAAATCTCTTGCAAATGATTCTTCTATACGCAAAAAGCGTGGCAGACCACTTGGATCAAAAGAATAAAAAGCAAGAAAAACTAAAAAGCAAGATTTAACATGTGATGCCAAAGATGTTCATCCTTCTCAACAATAAAATGAACAATTTGAAAATACTTGCATAGAAAATGATATTATAAAACAAACATCTCAAATGATGATCCAATTTCCTTAATCGAGGAAGAGATTCCAGATAATGATAGAAACATTGATAATTATGAAATTTCATAAACTACGTTTCTACTGGAATGCAATGAAATCGAAAATATATTGATATTAATGAAATATCTGTCTATGCCATTGCCAATTTGCCACAAATGTTATGAATGAAAACAATGACAATGAGCCAACATCAATAGAAGAATAACGGAAACAAGATGATTGGCCAAAATGGAATGAAGCCATTTAGGCTGAATTAAAATCACTTGAAAAACGTGATGTTTTTGGACCGATAGTCCGTACGCCAAAAGGTGTAAACCAGTAGGCTTTAAATGGGTATTTGTGCGTAAACACAATGAGAATAATGAAATTGTAAGATATAAAGCCCAACTTGTTGCCCAAGGTTTTTCTCAAATGGTGGGATTAGATTATGAAGAAACATATTCACCGGTACTTGATGCAACTACATTAAGGCTTCTCATTGGCATGTCTGCTTTTAAAAGGTTGCAAATGCGACTAATGGATGTAGTGACTGCTTATTTATACAAACATTTATATGAAAGTTCTCGGAGGATTTAAAATGCCTGAAGCTCACATCTCGAAACCTCGACAAATGTTTTTCATTAAATTGTAAAAGTCATTATATGGACTAAAACAATCTGGATGAATGTGGTATAATCGTCTCAGTGAATATCCTCTCAAAGAAGGATACAAAAATGATCCAATTAGCCCATGTGGTTTCATTCGGCGATTAAATTCAGGATTCACCATAATTGCAGTATATGTTGATGACTTAAACATTATTGGAACTCCCGATGAAATTGAAAATACCGCAAATTATCTTATGAAAACATTTGAAATGAAAGATTTAGGGAGAACCAAATTTTGTCTCGGACTTCAAATTGAGCATTTGAAGAATGAAATTTTCATTCATCAATCCAATTACACCGAGAAAGTTCTGAAGAGATTCTATATGGACAAAGCTCATCCGTTGACCTCACCAATGGTGATTCGATCTCCCAACATACGTGATGATTCATTCCATCACCGAGAAGATAACAAAGAAATACTCGGTCCCGAAGTACCATACCTGAGTGCTATTGGAGCTTTAATGTATTTAGCTAATTGTTGAGGTTTAGTCCCGCAGATCCGAAAGCCCAACACGAACTTTGGATATCTCAGGAAAACGGGTCAAGAATCACGTGCATAAAGAAATATAAAAGATGAATAATTGAATACTCAAAAGCTCCCTTGTATTAAGTAATTTTGATGATTACACAGTAAACTCCCCGAACGGTACGTCGGAATAGTGACTAATACAAGAAATAAGAGAGATAAATCTATTCTAGGCCTTGAGTATCAAGAAGCTAACCCTTTACAATGAAATTAATCCTTCTATTTATACTAATGTGGGGTATGAGGTGCTCCATGCTAATTGGTTGCTAATCCGGCCATTTAAGTCCATACTCCCACTTGCTGCCGCCATACTTTAGCAATAAATGCTCCCTGCCACTTGTTTGCTGCCCGCTGCCCGAATGGGTAGTGGACTCTGCTGGAATCATCATTGATCGGGCTCAAGTACATTGGTTGACCCGAAACCCGTTCGGTACATATTTCTCCATGAGCCTGTTTATCTTCTGGATTCTGGTCTCGTTTAACGAACTGGATATATTGGGCCTTTGGATCCAGGTATTGGGCCTGCGGCCCAATATCCCAACACTAATAATACTAAACCAGATATTGCATTTTCTGTAGATTTATTAGCTAGGTACACAATATGCTAATGTTGGATATTTATCGAATCATGAAAAGGAAAAATCACAAACCGGGTACGTATTTAATTATGGTAACATCGCAATCTCGTGGAGATCTATGAAGCAGACATTGACATCTACATCTTCGAACCATTTTGAATTAATTGCAATGTATGAAATCAAGAGAGAATCCGTGTGACTATGATCTATGATTCAACACATCCAAAATGAATGCGATATGAAGCCTATTACTTTACATCAGTATACGAAGACAACATTGCATGCATAACTCAAATCAAAGAAGGCTACATCAAAAGAGACAGAACAAAATATATATCATCAAAATTCTTCTCTACTCACGATCTGGAGAAAGAAGGGAAGATCAACATTCAACAAATCAGATCTAGTGAAAATCCGCCTGATCTTTTCACCAAATCTTTACCCCCGAAGAAGTTCATGGAACTTGTACAAAAAATCGGCATGCGCCGCCTTCAAAATTTATGCTAAGTTCAGGGGAGTATTTGAATGTATTGCACTCTTTTTCCCTTCATCGGGTTTTTATCCCACTGGGTTTTTGTTGATAAGGTTTTTAACGAGACAGTACATCCAAATACAACGACATTATAAGTCATAATTTTCACCCCTTCATTTTCACTCGAATTTTTCATAATAAGTTTTTTTTAACATAACGAATACATATTCAAGGATGAACATTCAAGGGGAAGTGTTGTAAAATCTAGGAATTGACAAGTGTGAATTGTTCATCCTTATCATCAGGACACCAAGATATTCATCATCCTTGTAATGATCTTTGTAACCTAGTTAGAACAGGTGGCTTAATTTGTTGTTGCCACCTATATCGTACATCAGCTAGCTGTACGACTTGCATTGTATAATCAGTGTCATTTTTGTAAATTATGTGAAAATATCAGCTTCTGTTAAATGACCAATAATGCATTTTTAGTGAGCACCAGATCTATTCTGTTGAAAAAATATTTTTGATTGAGTATATCGACTCGGACCCCTGGATCTCACGACTATTGGGCCCGGACAGAGGCCCACGTATGCTCAATAGATAGCATTTATCTCATTGTACACTCTTTTATTCATTTGTACCCATTAGAATCTATTAAACATCATCTATTAGCCATTTATTGGCCTTTTATTGTAACTGGGCCTTCCAGGCCCAAGCCTGGGAGCCCAGCCCACTTTTCTACTATAAATACTCCCTAAGGGAGTCATGTAAAGGGTTGGAAAATCATTATATATATCACTTTATCTCTCTAGCTCTCTCTTCTCTCTAGATAATAATCTATCATTTGGTGCTTTCATTGAGAGCTAGGATAGATCAAGTGAGATCCTCCCCCACCAATAAAACTCCACGTCAATGACCAAAGGGGTACGCCTCGGCCCTAGCCATGCAACACATCCCATCGGCTGAGCAACATGACACCCGATGTACATTCAAACGTGTGGCTAAATTACCCACCCTAGCCAAGTTGTCAATCGGCTCTCTCATAGGGGTGGCAGTTCAACGGCCATGTGGCAGCTCTATAAGTTCACAGCTCAGTCCACTTGAACATGATAACATTTCGGCCGTAGCTGGAGGAACATGGCCCACCCGTGAAGCAGCAATCCACTGGTCAACTGTACCAAGGTTCCATGGGTGAAGAAAAACACCCCTGCTACACCATCGGCCAACAGTGCACCAAGCATCGGCCAAGCATCGGCCAAATTCATAATCCGCATGCCAAATTCCCACTGGCCAAGAAAGTCGGTACCCCAAACTATCCCTCAGCCGAATGAGACCATCATCCTGGAGCAACAGGTGGGTTCTCTTCGGCCAAATGCCAGCCTGAGTTCTACCTCGGCCAAGTGGGACCTCATCTTCGAGCAGCAGGTGGATCCTCTTCGGTCAAACAAAAACCCATCGGCTAAAACAGAGGAAAGGCAGCCCCTTCGGCCAAGAAAAGTCAGTCAGCGCCCCGACCACCGGTCTAGAGTGCCGCCTTCGGCCAAAGAAAGTCAGTGTGCAACGGCTCCATCACCACCGGTCTAGAGTTCCGCCTCGGCCAGATTGTACAAACATCAACACCGGTCCTGGAGCCTTCGTCGTCAGCCTAGGAGCACCTCCTTCGTCCAAGGTCATCGGCCAGCAGTGCACCTTCGGCCAGGACTCCTCAACTTTGCCAAAAATTCAATCAAAAGAAAAGCAAAGCGGAGAGCAGTACCTTCTTCGTCCAGGGTCTCCCTCCCCGGCAAAACATCACATCTGCCAAAACAAAAACGAAGAGTACGATGCCTCGGCCAACCCACGTTTTCACTCCTATGACAAAGGGAAATATCAGTGAGCCCCTCGACCATTGTAGCGCCTCGTCAGACATATACTCCTCGGCTAAATAGCTTCATCGTCCAGAATCGGAGTCAACTCGGCCGGAGCAGGATCATCGTCGCGTCGTCCCTAGTCCCATCGACGCCAAATCACAGACCCGTCGGCCAAATTGAGGTCTTCGTTTCCAGAGTTCCGGGCCAGGGGGAGCTGCTACTCTACCGTTTCCTGGCCTTGGCCTCGCGACAGGTGACAAGCCGGGTTAATTCGGGCGAGGACGGTGGGAATCTCCTCGTCCACGGGGGACTCCAGCTCCTTCTAGCGGATGAAATTGGCAATTGAACACCTGGGACGCTCCACCGGATCTATTAAAACGGTGGGCTAGAAGGTTGTAGGCCGGCTATTAACCTCAAGGACTAGGCTCTCAAAGAGCAGGCCCAATCTACTCTCTCTCCAGCAGGCTTCTAAGGAGCACAGACTTCAGCCCAAATATAAGCTAAGTACTCCAAAATTTCCTCCTACTTATGCATTAAATATGGAGCCAAATAGTTTTACAACTATTATTATTATCATCTCTACTTTCTAGCCGGTTAAAATCCCCAAAGTGGTGTAACCGAAGCTCTACTCTACCGAACATCTTTATTTGATGATTCAGATTACATTTAGGTCCCTCGACCTACCCTAGCCATATTTATTTGGTGACTCGGGCATATAAATTGAGAGTCGCTATCGGCCGCACACGACATTATTATGCTTAAGAGCGGTAAACGGTACACCTCAGTCTAAGATACCGCATAATACATCGACCCCTCAGAGCGAAAATGATCAGGAAAGGTCGACAGAGCACACCGTTTCGGCCCCTCAGAGCGAAAATGCTCAGGAAAGGCCGACGGTGTCCCCAGGACGAAGGGCCCGCAAAGAGCCCACGTCTTGAAATGGGAAGCTCACCGCGTCGTCTATCCGCAAAACCAGCAGGACGACAGGCCTGAAATAATGGCCGAGGTGAGAAAAATCCCCAAACTCAGGGATGAGAAACGGCAGCCGTCGGTAACCGACCAAAAGCTTTAGCCCGCATCATAAATAGGCGACGGGACCTCCCTGAGATCACAGGACGATCCAGTAGGACTCCTTACCGGCCGAGGGACTATCGACCCCCTTGGCCGAAGCCTGAAAGAAGGATACCCACTCCTCGCTCAAAGAAGTAAAGAGGAAGAATATAAAAGAGGGACAGCCGAAGGACCGTGCACTTGCCGGCCTAAATCGATATCCCCAAAAATAAAAGAGGGACAGCCGAAGGACCGCGTATTTGCTGGCCTAAAGCGATATTCCCACAAATCAAAAGAGGGAAGCCGAGGACCGCGCACTCGCCGGCCTCGAGCGATAAAAAATAAAATCCCCACAAATAAAGCCACATATTTGGCTAAGTACATCTCAGACGAGCGCCCAGCGCCGTCCATCATCTCAGACGAGCGCCCAGCACCGTCCCTCATCTCAGACGAGCGCCCATCGCCGTCCATCATCTCAGACGAGCGCCCAGCGTCGTCCATCATCTCAGACGAGCACCCAGCACCGTCCATCATCTCAGACGAGCGTCCAGCGCCGTCCATCATCTCAGACGAGCGCCCAGCGCCGTCCCCCATCTCAGACGAGCGCCCAGCGCCGTTCATCATCTCAGACGAGCGCCCAACGTCATCCATCATCTTAGACGAGCGCCGTCCATCATCTCAGACGAGCGCCCAACGTCGTCCATCATCTCAGACGAGCGCCCAACGCCGTCCCTCATCTCAGATGAGCGCCCAGCGCCGCCCATCATCTCAGACGAGCGCCCGGCGCCGCCCATCATCTCAGACGAGCGCCCAATGCCGTCCCTCATTTCAGACGAGCGCCCAGCGCCGTCCCTCATTTCAGAGAGCGCCCAGCGCCGTCCCTCATCTCAGACGAGCGCACAACGCTGTCCATCATCTTAGACGAGCGCCCAGCGCCGTCCGTCATCTCAGACGAGCGCCCAGCGCCGTTCCTCATCTCAGACGAGCGCCCAGCGCCGTCCCTCATCTCAGACGAGCGCCCAGCGCCGTCCCTCATCTCAGACGAGCGCCCAGCGCCGTCCCTCATCTTTAGACGAGCGCCCAGCACCGTCCCTCATCTTCAGACCGGCTCCTTCGTCCTTCATGTTCAGTCCGGTGTCAACGCCTTGCCCTTCATCACATCACGACCGGACCCTCGGCCTCGGCGTGATTATTTATCTCAAGATCGGCCTCCTCAGCGCCAAGAGTCTTGAGCCAGCGATTGGGCTCACTGTCCCTTCCTGGATGGTGACCATTGCCTCTATGACGGTCGGCTTATCATCGCCCCGTCATCATATTATTGGACCAGCTCATCATCGATGTCGTCCGCACATCACGACCAGCCCCTCGGCTATGGCGTGATGCTCTATCTCAAGGCCGGCTTCCTCAGCGCCGAGAGTCTTGAGCTTGCGACCGGGCTCGCCATCCCTTCCAGGATGGTGACCGTCGCCTCTATATGACGGTCGGCTCATCATCGCCCCGTCGCCATATTATTGGACGAGCTCATCATCGCTGTCGTCCGCACATCACGACCAGCCCCTCGGCTACGGCGTGATGCTTTATCTCAAGACCGGCTTCCTCAGCGCCGAGAGTCTTGAGCCAGCGATCGGGCTCGCCATCCCTTCCTGGATGGTGACCATCGCCTCTATATGACGACCGGCTCATCATCGCCTCGTCATCATATTATCAGATCGGCTTCTCAGCATCGCCATCCTCACATCACGCCCGACCCTTTGGCCTCGGCGTGATTATCTATATCAAGACCGGCTTCCTCAGCACCGAGAGTCTTGAGCTAGCGATCGGGCTCACCATCCCTTCCTGGATGGTGACCATCGCCTCTGTATGACGGCTGACTCATCATCGCCCCGTCATCACATTATAGGATCAGCTCCTCATCGTTAACGTCCTCATATCACGATCGGCCTCTCGGCCTCGACGTGATTATCTATCTCAAGACTGGTCTTATCCATTCCTTCACCGGATGCCGACCGTTGCATGGATTGTAGGACCGGATCCTCATCACCGTCATCTTCACATCACGACCAGCCCCTCGGCTATGGTGTGATGCTCTATCTTAAGACCGGTCTTAGTCATTCCTTTACCGGATGACGACCGTTGCATGGATCTTCGGACCGGCCCCTTAGTGCCTTCGTCCTCACATCACGACTGGTCCCTCGGCCTCGGCATGATTATCTATCTCAAGCCCGACTTCCTCAGCGCCGAGAGTCTTGAGCTAGCGATTGGGCTCGCCATCCCTTCCTGGATGGTGACCATTGCCTATACATGATGACCGGCTCATCATCGCCCCATCATCATATTTCGGATTGGCTCCTTCTCATCGCCATCCGAACATCATGATCGGCCGCTCGGCTTCGGCGTGATTATCTATCTCAAGATCGGCTTCCTCAGAGCCGAGAGTCTTGAGCTAGCGATCGGGCTCGCCATCCCTTCCTGGATGGTGACCATCACCTGTATATGATGGCCAGCTCATCATCGCCCCGTCATCATATTTCAGGACCGGCTCCTCATCGTCGTCGTCCTGACATCACGACCGTCGCCTCGGCCTCGGCGTGATTATCTATCTCAAGATCGGCTTCCTCAACACCGAGAGTCTTGAGCTAGCGATCGGCTTCATTCTTGCCCCGTTATGATATTATCGGATCGGCTCATCATCGCCGTCCGCACATCATGACCGGCCCCTCGGCCTCGGCGTGATTATCTATCCCCAAGACTGGTCTCAGTCATTCCTTCATCGGATGGCGTCTGTTGCTTGAACTTTTGGATCAGCCTCATAGTGCTGACGACCTCGCATCATGACCGGCCCCTCAGCCACGACGTGACACCCTATCCCAACACCGGCTTCATCAGCGCCGAGTGTGTTAGGCTAGCGATCAGGCTCGCCATCCCCTCTTGGATGGTGACTATCGCCTCTATATGACGATCAGCTTCATCATGGCCTTGTCATCATATTTCGGACTGGCTCATCATCATTGCCGTCCGCACATCTCGATCAGCCTCTCGGCCTCGACGTGATTATTTATCTCAAAACCGGCTCCCAGCGCCGAAGTCTTGTTATAGCGATTATGCTCGCCATCCCTTCACGGACGGTGACCGTCGCCCCTATATGACGCACGGCTTATCATCGCCTCATCCTCACATTTAGATTGGCTCCAGCGCCAAAGTCCTTATCTAGCGACCAGGCTCGCCAATCCCTTCCTGGATGGTGACCATCGCCTGTATATGATGGCCGGCTCCTCATCGCCGTCGTCCTCACGTCACGACCGGCTCCTCGGCCTCGGCGTGATTATCTATCTCAAGATCGGCTTCCTCAGCACCGAGAGTCTTGAGCTAGCGATCGGGCTCACCATCCCTTCCTGGAAGGTGACCATCGCCCTTATATGACGATCGGCTTCATTCTTGCCTCGTCATGATATTATCAGATTGGCTCATCATCGCCGTCCGCACATCACGACCGGCCCCTCGGCCTCGGCATGATTATCTATCCCCAAGACCGGTCTCAGTCATTCCTTCATCGGATGGTGACCGTTGCTTGGACTTTTGGATCAGCCTCATAGTGCTGACGACCTCGCATCACGACCGGCCCCTCGGCCACGACGTGACGCCCTATCCCAACACCGGCTTCATCAGCGCCGAGTGTGTTGGGCTAGCGATCAGGATCGCCATCCCCTCTTGGATGGTGACTATCGCCTCAAAGTAGAAGGTGATGGTGAGCTAGCGATCGGGCTCACCATCCCTTCCTGTAAGGTTGCAGGTCCCAGGTTCTAGCGATCGGGCTCACCATCCCTTCCTGATTCTCAGGCGATGGTCACCTTCCAGAGATTTCCCATGGGATTAGCTATATGATCGTTCTGTTCTGGGTTTGCTTTAATTTAGCACTTTTATTTTCCTTTCATGTACTTTTAATTTATTTTCCCTTTCTCGCATTGTACTTATTTATTTTAATAAAATCTCCCTTTCAAAAAAAAAGGATGGTGACTATCGCCTCTATATGCCACGTCAGCCCTAGGGATATCCCAGCCTCACTAGAACTCCGCCCAGGCTCGAGGCATGCTTTCTAGCCTGGTCTGGCTGTGGGTTCTTCACGCGGGCTTGGTTCCTAGTTAGGCCCAATGGTTATCTATCATTAATCCCGTTAAAGGTTAATCTTGTTCATGGGCCGGACTCACACAATTGGGCCATGGTCGGGTTCCATGGTACCATCAATTAGAAAGCATACCAAAATATTGATTATTAATTGTATTTTAAATATAATTATAGCCCAAAAGCCCTTTCAAATAACTACAATTAATATATAGAAATTAAATAATAATTTATATACAACATACAAATACAAATTAATAAATAATATTGGTCAAAGATGGAAAATTGAATGGCACACAACTCAAAACACAAACTCTGGT